TAAACATTTGACTTCAGTTGTTACAGTCTGATTCAACTATCTTTGAACTTCATTTATTAACTATTTATAAATATAATTTTTCAGCTTTCAGGTAACGCTTTAGCGCTGCTAGGAAGCGTTTTTATTAATTTTTGCTGATAATAATATTATAAACCACAGACCTAAGCGCATCTGAAGTGTAAAATAGTTGAAGACAGTTAACTGGAAATCATGGATCTAATTACTAGTCGGCTCTTCTATAGCATACACAGCAACAAATGCAGGAGAAGATGACCAGTGTAGCGGAAGCCTCAGCAGCAACAGGTCTCAACTTACATAAAGGGAAAAGTAAGATTCTGAGATACAAAACAACATGCGTCAACGAAATCACTCTTGAAAGAGATGCCTTGGAGGATGTAAAAACATTTACATATCTGGGCAGCATCATAAACAATCAAGGTGGATCCGATGCAGATGTGAGGGCTCCATTTCTACAATGGGACAGCATCTGGAACTTAAAACAGCTATCAACAAACAACAAAATCAGGATTTTCATTACAAATGTCAAGACACTTCTACTGTGTGGAGCGCGAACTTGGAGAACTACGAATGTCCTCACCCACAATATACAGGTGTTTGTTAACAGCTGTCTAAACAAAATACTTTGGATTCATTGGCCAGAAACCATCAGCAACAGATTCCAGTGGAGGCGGAAATCAGGAAAAACGTTAGGACACACACTGAGGAAAGCACTCAACTGCGTCACAAGACAAGCCCTCTCTTGGAACTCTCAGGGTAAAAGCAAAAGAGAAAGGCCAAGAAACACATTACGTCGAGAAATAGAGAAAGACATGCGGAAAACTGAATAAAAATTGAACAGAACTGGAAAGGGAAGCCTAGGACAGGGTAAGCTGAAGAAAACTAGTTGGTGGCCTATGCTCTATTGGGAATAACAGGCGTAAGTAAGTAACTGCTAGTCGGTACTTGGTATCAGAGTATACATGTAATCTTGAGAGCACTAACTCTCATTCTCTCTCTCTCTATGTAGTTAAAACCAACATTATCTAATTTCCGCAGCTTCATCTATTAGACAACAGTTTAATTATGACAATTAACTTTGATAATTATCACATAATATAAATTCTGTCTAAACTATCCATCAATTTATTGTACGTGTGAAATCAACATTACAATTCATTTATTATTCATCTACTATTCAAAGTACTTCATGTAACAAATAAACAGTTAAACACTCAAACATTCAAACAAACAAATAGAAAATGCCACCAATTCATAATTCACATTGAATTTCATAAATATCACATATCACACAATCCAATGCTACACACGTATCAATGAATAAACAGTTTGGCTTGAAATGCAGTGATTATATTATTTTTTTTGGTTCATTCTCTAACTGATTATCATTCATCATTCATTTGAATGAATGAATGAATATGACCTCGAATGAATAAATAGGATGATAGTTTATGACAAATTTTTTTAATGTTTAGTTCTATTGAAATGTGACCGATAGATATGATGATATGATAGTCAAACATGACCAAACAAAAAAGTCCATTTTTTTAAAAATGATCATCTATCTACTGTTTGATGAGTATTAATTAACCCGTTAGTTAGTGTTTAATTTTATTTGCATTACGGGGTTGTTGTGAAGATTGTTAAGTTACACATTTTTGAAACCATGAACCGATCACTGTTAGACCAACACCATTAGAAACCTGGAAGCACTGCAAGGCGGCCGTTTCGCCCTGGTATGGGACTCCTCAGCTGTACGCATCCACGACTCCTGCATCCCGCAGGACTCGAACCCAGGACCTTCGGTATTGTGCGCGAACGCCCTAACCGACAGACCACTGAGCCGGTATCTAACAGTGTTAATGTCTAACTTGATCAAATTCACGGAGTTGCGCAACCTCATACACAGTCTTCGGCATTAGTTACTGTCTACACTCGAATGGTCACTGGTCACGTCTTCCCCCACTAGAACTTGGAGAAGATTGCTCACGAAGCTAGTCACCAATGAGCACAGGTAATTTGCATTATGGGGTTATTGTGAAGATTGTTAAGTTATACATTTTTTTGAAACCATGAATCGATCAATGGTTAGGCGTACCCGCACAATACCGAAAGTCCAGGGTTCGAATCCTGCAAGGAGGCAGGAGTTGTGGATGAGCAGTACTGAGGAGTCCCATACCAGGACGAAGCGGCCGTCTTGCAGTGCTTCCAGGTTTCTAATGGTGGTCTAACATGGATCGATTCATGGTTTCAAAAAATGTGTAACTTAACAATCTTCACAACCCCGTAATGCATGTATTGGAGAATTCTTCATTGGGGATGAACTGCCAAATAGTTAAAATGTTCTTCTGGTGATAGCTTGGAATCAAGGACTTTAAGGGTAAAACATACTGACTACTAATAAAAATGTACTTAAATAGTATTTTTTTTCAGACTGAAATCACCAATCAATCATTGTTAGACCACCATTAGAAACTTGGAAGCACTGGGTGGTCGTCTCGTCCTGCTTTGGGACTCATCATCATCCTGCTTCTCACTTGAACGCCTAACCTCTGGACAGTATTGAAGAAAAATGCTAAGATTATGCGAAGTTTTAAATTTTTCTGTCACAATAGTCTCATTAGTTTAAATGTCCACATTTAGTTCATATGTCGCCTACTACCCTCAATGGAACATAGGCCGCCCACCAGCATTGTCCAGTTTACACTGTCATAAGCCTTCTTCTCTACTTCTATGAAATTGATGTTCATTCTTTTGACGTCTGCTTCTAAATCTTATAGTAATGAGTTATTCGGTCTTCCTCTTTTCCTCTAGCATTGAGGATTCCAAGTGAGAGCTTGTCATGTGGAACAGTTGGTTTAAGGTCAACAGCAACCAATCAAAATCGAGGTTAGCAGAACAAGCTACAGGTCAAACTTGGAGAAATTCAAGTGCTTCACGTCTATCTGAAGTTTGTGCTGATGATGTTGTTCAGAAGAACAATGAAAGCTCCACAACCAAAACACCCAGCTCAGAGAACGAAACACCACCACCACAATCATCCACCTGAGCTACAAATCTTCTCCACCATCTCAGTTGAGTACTTTCTTCCAAAGTATGTCCCAACCACTTCCAGCGCTTCTTCCTGATTTCTTCCTCGACGGGAATCTGGTTGGTTCTATCCCACAGTAAGTTGGTGATGATGGTTTCAGGAGCCGCAATAATGTTCGATAAACTTTTTGACACCAACTGATACCATAATTTTTCAGTACGTACACTGTAATCACTAGGAAAAAGAGACAAAATGTATCATAAGTGTTGTGAAAGAGCGATTCAGTTGGTATTTCTGTTTCAAATCAAATGATCCCACCAATAGTGTTAAGTTCGTCATTAAGTATGCTTGAAACTATTATGGGTTCACCTTTGTTGATAAACTAGAACTAGACAATGAACCAGCGTCTAGGTGGGCTACTGTGATCCGTTGACTCGTAACGGCTATACAGAAGTCTTGATATATTGTAGAAACTATATTCTTCAAACACCCAGCAAGCACAATGTATTCAAGTACACAAATCTCGTTTATTTATACATCATAGAAACGTCCTTGGGACAATTACAAAACTAGCACACTAATATAACACAGTAACCAATTACAACCAAGGATTCGCTGGTGGGAAATGTGGTCTCAAGGTCAACTGATCAGCCCATGCTCGCAACGTGAAATCCAAAATTAAGGCATTTATCAAGAGAGTTCTGGGGAATTAATGTCCCCAACAGATATGCAGTATAATAAGTATTGAGATGATGAAGTAAATTTGTAGCTCAAGGGGATTATTGCGATAGAGATTCGTTCTCTGAGC